TGAATGGTATGTGTCCATTTTTGTTTTTGGAAAACAGAAAAAAGGTGGGAAAGTTGGAAAACAAGAAATCAAATTGGTGTATCCTCATTTAGCAGTGGTTAGGACATTGTGATTAAAGAAAACTTGTACCTACATTCTTGTCCATGCAATGCGTAATCTTCTTTAGAAGAAATCCTGCTATCATTCCAAATCCTTCATAGTGAGAACTGCTAAGAAAACATAATATAAAATAACATCAACAGGACCAAAGTTACCCAAGATGAAATCATTACCAAGAATACAAACAACTGTACCAAAACTATGTTGATGAAACAACATGGCCAGGTACTGTCACCACATTTGTAACTTATAAACACCAATGATAGGTTAGATGACGCTTACAATTGACAACACAATGTTTTTGCTTTGCATGTAGATACCTGTGTAATCATTAAACAGGACCTGGTAAAACATGGACAGGGTTGGAATAATTGATCATTAAATCCAAGAGGAGATTTGCATTACTGTAAGTTGAATCTCTGCATAGCTACATTCAACCACTTTTTAATGCACATTATAGGGCCATGTTAAAGAACCTGTGCTGCATACTTCGTGGAACTACATACAGGATATGTAACGCATTGCATTACCTTGCATGTGAACAAGAGCTCTCACTGTGGTGGACATACTCATAATACCTACTCAGATAAGGTTGTATTGGTTGTCAGTGCAAACAACATTGCTTCACAGGGCTGTTGTAAGTTACGTTGTTTCTGCCAGTGGTTAGAGTGTATGAAGTGTTTCCAAGCTGTTCTGATGACATCTCGGAGTAAACAGAAATGCTGAGACTTTCAAATATAAGTTGTGGAAATAAACTGGAGGCAAATGCACTTTTGTCTGCTTTCTTTTATGCCAATAATTGTGTAGAATTTCAAACATCAATATCACAATCGTAATCATAGTAATATAGTAAGGTATAATAGTCTATCTAGACTTATCCTACTAAAAAAGATATAGGTATGCACAGTATTATTACCTCCATGAAATGTGTCATGGAGGTTATATTTTCAGTCGCGTTTATCTGTCCGTCTGTCCGTCTGTCTGTCCGTCTGTTGGTCAACAAGATAACTCAAGAACGCCTGGATGGATTGGTTTCATACTTGGTGTGTTGGTAGGGTGTGACGAAAACTAGAAATGATTAGATTTTGGTCCCCCTAGTGGCTTCCCTTGGTACTGCAGCGCAACTTCTGGTTTTGATATCTCGCGATCTGGACATGCTAGGGTCATGAAATTTTGATGGAAGGTAGCTCTCGTGCTTGGGAAGAAGTCATATGAGTTTGGGCCCCCTAGCGGCTTGTTCTGGAACTGCAGGGCACTTTCTGGCAAAATGTTTAAAAGCCAATAAGTCCAGACAGGAACAACATATTTTCATTATTTTTGGTGTGTAGGTAGCTGAGAGAGAGATGTACATAATTAAATGCAAATTATGCAAATGAGGACTTTATTGCATAATTAATGAGGACATTCTATAATTACAGTGTTTTACATTATACGACTTACATTACATGTGATGTATGTAACCTATGGCAGGCGGACCTTCAACAGATACTAATTATGCAAATGATGACCTAATTTGCATAATTAATGCGAAAATTCTATGATTTCGTAATGGTGAATGATGAGAATGTCTTCATTATTTTTGGCGTGTAGGTAGCTGAGAGATGTACATAATTAAAGGCAAATTATGCAAATGAGGACTTTATTTTGCATAATTAATGAGGAAATTCTATAATTACAGTGTTTTACATTATACTACTTGTATG